CGACATTGTAGAGTAGGCTAGATAGGATCTGCCATCTGTAGTCGGGGCACTGAGCGCCGGATAGGATATCAACATTGGTTCTTCGTTGATGATGATGATGAGACTATTCCAGCATTGTCAATTATGAGCTTTTGGTGTGCTCTTATTTGGTGAAACTCGTGATGCAATTCTTCTCTTGGTTCGAGGTCACGACTATCTGGTCTTATATGTATGATGCTGTTTGATTGCTGAAATTCGCTATTGCTCATCTTCCTTGCAATTTGGTATCAGAGTTGTGGTACGTTGCGCTCATCTGGCGCTTGTCTTCTGCCTATGTGGTACATACATGCGGTCTGCTTGGTGAGTGAGGCCGTAGGCGGTGTGTAGTGAGGAGGGCGGAGACAAGGTGTGGCGACCCAGGAGGAGAGGGGAATCGCCAGGAAGGCTACGGTGTGTATATTGGGTGTTCGCAGTGTSATGAGAACTATCTGGTGGTTGATTGATGTTGAGGTGGAACGGCGAGATAATGCTGGTTGTGCCGATGCAGTGACTGGTCATCGCAATCGCCATCAGGTCAGCTGGTGAGAATATCTGTGGTTGGGGGCAGCTATATCGAGGTACGTTGCTCTTAACCTTATCTACCCTCTTCATCACTTCTTACCGTGAGGTTGTGAGTTCCTTGTTGAGAGTCCTCTCATGAGAGGTGTCGTGTGCGCTCAACCGTGAGAGTCGACATTGTTCACGTGGAGCATCTGGAAGGAGAGGGCGGTGCTTTCTGAAGGGCCCTGGACGAAACATTGGGGCACGGTCACCATGTAGAGCACGCATGCTTTGTTGCTTTGTCCTTGTCTGCTTGCTGCGCTCATAGAGGGGTACTGAAGGGCAGGCTAGCCCTACGGGAGAGGTGAGCACCGGGCGTCTATAAATAAACACCGGTTGGGGAAACCATTGGTTGTGATCGTCGTCCTGCTGCGACGTAAAATAATTCCTGATGACACTTGGGGGCGGTTGTTAAATTGCCTCTTGATCAACCAATCAGTGTAAGGCTCGCTGCACGCGAGGATAAACACAGTGCAGGGTTGGCCAGCTCAGCAGCTACTCGGGGCACAAGGGTGGGCCGTGTGCACACCTTTAGTCACGCACGCCAAACCGGATTGCTCAGGGATGCTGACGTCAAGTGACAATCAAGGGGAATTGGGAAAGGGGTAGATTCCGGGTGATAAGTTAGAGTAAGATCCCATGCTGCAAACAGACCCAACAAATGATGTTATTTTTATTTTGACTAGTTAGATGTACTGCCATTGACATCTGACAGACAGCATAGTTTAGAACTGATTTTGTTCATTGTGCTTTCTGTTTGCTAACTAGTCAAAGTTGAATAGTATTATTAGTAGGAATCTGAACTTACCTGTTAGACCCGAATGTATAGTCTCTGATATAGCCGCCGATTATTTATATCGGTTTGTACATGTCGCTGCGGTAGGCATCCATTGTGTGTCCTAGTGCAGACGGTGTGCAGTGTTGTAGCATATGAGCAATAGGGACACCACTAGTGAGGACGACCGGATCTTGCGATCGGCTAGACGCCCGATATCCCATTTGGCATTAGGACCAAAGGGCGACAGATACTTGTTCCGCCAGCTGAGAGAGCGACAGCAGCTGCAGAGAAGAGCTAGGGCCGCAGAGGCAAGCAGGGCATTCGTAAGCGAGGCCGCTACTTCAACAGTCATGGCCACTGCTGCGCAGCAGACTTCTCAGGCTGGTAGTTCAGGATCTGTAGGCGGTCGCGCAGACCTTGAGTCAGTCCACTGGCGTAATGGCAAGCCAGCCCTTAGTGATGACTCCCGAGGAGGTCGCCATACAGTGAGCTGTGATCGCGAGGCACAACTACAGCAGGCTTTGGGTGAGATTAAGGCAGAGAAAGAGAGAATGATTAGAAGAAGAGCCAGGATGCAGCGGAGTCAAGCGGACATTAGTGAGTTAGAGGAGATGGACCCAACAGAGATGGAGGATGATGTGAGGACCATACGGTCGGTCTTGTTAAGTGTCGTAGAGATGCAAGATCACCAGATGGAGATCTTACAGGACATCCAACAAAGTCTGGCTGTGTTCGTCAGGCGAATGCAGGTGGCACCATCACCGTCCGGGCCCGGTGCCTGGCCCGTTGTACATCCTCCTCCTTTTGTCCCACCGGTGACTGGGGTGTCCCCATATACAGGTTGCCGTTAGCGGGCAGCCTGTTGTCTTGCAGCCTGCACAGCTGCAGGGTACGCAGCCGCAGCAGTCAGTGCAGCAGCCTGTATCACAGGGTCCACAGCCTAGAGTGATGCAGGGACCGGGACAAAGTCAGTGGGTACCAAAGACGACCATCGTCGCTCCTAAACCCTTTACAGGGGATAAGAGGGGCAAAGACCTCAACACTTGGTTGAGGGCAGTGTCGGTCTATGTCAAGTGCAAACTTACCTTGCCACACGAGGAAGTGTTTGTGGATGCATCCTACCTAGAGGGTAGTGCAGCAAGATGGTTGAGCGGTTTAGTGTAGTTACAGGAGTACGGTCATGACTTCCGTGCTTGGGCAGCCCACCAGAAACTGGAGGACTTTCTCAAGATGGTGGAAGACAGGTGGCATGATCCTCAGGAGGCCC